CCTCTGAAAACAGCTGGGCTTGTTATTCTCTGTGAATAACCTCTCCTGTTGCCACTGCTGGAGACAGAAAACTGGGCTGGATAGACCACTGGTCTGACCCACTAAAGCCTTTCTTACAGTCTTAAAATAAAATTAAGAGCTCTATTTAAATGCAAGCATCAATCTGATATGCATTACTAATCCTAAAAGCGAATGTGAAGCTTGAATAGTTAAGTTTGTTGTTAAAATACCTTAAGAAATCAGTGTTACTTATCTTGGCCTCATGAAAGTCAAAATTGGGTGTGCCTAGTAAAAACAATTTCAGTAAACGATGCCCTCTCTTTACAGGAATACTGCTGCTTTCTGAACTGTAAGAATTTGTGGTTACTTTGTTTTAAATATACAGCTTGTATATTTTAAGATTCTATATTGTATCATATAAGGTGAAAGTACTACGTGGTTGTATGTGCTTTCAAATTTACAGCCAGGCTTAACCTAGAAACCAGCATGCAGCAATGTATTATAGCTCGTTAGAAATATAATGGTGCCGATAATATTTCCCTTCACTGTTTTATTATACAGTTATAAAACACTGCTTTATTTTTACATTTATGATGTAGAAGAGTCCAGGCTATAAAACACATTTTGTTGGCATAAAAAGGGGATGATTGTGTGAGGTTTTGTTGAGGATGAGCTCACAAAAGATCAGTAAATTTGCAGCACATCAGCCGTAATTATACACAGATGCAATTCTTTCTCTGTCTCCATTTTTTTTAAATTTTATAAAAGACACCCTATCTCTCTATTTGCTTGCTTCACGAGAAATATAAAAGTAGCAGACAAAATGCATTTTTCAAGCAATTGTATAACCCACGTATCAGTAATGCCATCTTCCAAATGCTAAGAAATTCAGTAGAATACCTTGCTTCTAAGGAAATCTCTCAAAACATTCATCCCATCACACCAAGAAAAAAATTAAGCATGTTCTGAAAATTGTTCTGGACTCTGACTAAGAAGAAAAGGTTTGATCCAGGGCTTTTTACTTAGCTACTAGATTACATACCCTAGAACCACGTAACAAATCCTCAAACACACAGTAGTCTGACCCATCCGTGTTTCCATTTTGAAGTTCACTTTGCTGGATGGACTGAAGTTTCCAGTCAGATTCACAAAGCCCATCTAGGCAGTCTCTGCTCTGCAGGTGGGTTCAGGTGAGCCACATGAATGATATCTACGTTAGTAAGTAGTGCAGGCTAATAGGAAAGGATTTGTGGCATGAAAGAGTTAGTGCTGAGAGCTTAACATCCACACCACACATTTCAGGAAGGTTTACTTAGCGGTATTTCTAGCCTGGTCCTGTGGCTGGAGAGCATTAGGTGTGCTTTTGGAGCATATCTTCTAGTTTAATCTCATCCAAAAGGAACCTAGTTCCTATGCTTTGAGATTGCTTTGTGATGTGAATAAAAGCATGACAAATACTCAGAAGCACATGCCAAAATGCTAATGGTGAAATGCAGCCATGGGTATCATCAACATTCAAAATTAGTTACATTTCAGTACTTTAAGCACAAAGGTCTTTCACGGTCTGGGTTACTTAGAGGCCATACTTGTGAAGGATTTGCATCAGAATAGTACTTCTAACTTTCCTTTAGTATGAAATTAGATAAGGCTAGGGAAACTGTAAGATATCTGAACAAATATGAACTTCATAGAACAAAAAAAAAGAACTTGTTTGCAAATATAAATATTTGCTTTAACTACATTTATCCACCAGATGGTGTCCCACAACATATCCTTTAGGAGCTGCCTGAAAGAATGAGGAATGGTTCTACATCTATTTCACAGATACCAACACTGTATTTTTGAAACTCACAAATATTTTTCAATACATAAATGCTCAAGGACAAATTTTAAATTTTACCAAAATGCCATATCTGGAAAAAATCATGGTAAACAGTGCTCTTTATTGCTGCATTACATTTTTCCCATTTTCGTCTTTCAATGAGCCACGGAGGCAGGAAGCTCTCAAGTGTTTGTATTTTATTAAAAGTGTAGAAAAACTGCATGGTTTAGAGAATATTGACACTAAACTAATCAGTTCAAGCTGGTTTAGGAAAATGTCGGGCTTATATAAATAGAAAATATTCAACAGTCTACTCAATGACAAAATTTTGAAAAGGGGAGGCCACTAAAAAGTGGAAAAATAGATCCTTTTGATTAATGACTCAATAGTGGAAGAATGTTGCCCATACCCATCTGTGTCCCAGACAAAGTGAAGGAGATGGTTTATCTCCTGCCAGGACAAAAGCCAGCACAAAAGGAAGATCTTACAATGCAGAATTCTGGTGAATCTTCACTTATGGTACCCCATGGAGTCTGTAGTAACAATAGGGAAAGGAAATGTGGCAGACTAAAAAAAATCTCACAGAAAGCCAGAAGATGAGAATTTAAGGTTTTTACTGAATAGGGCTACAGGTGTGTATTTGAGTGGAATTTGGTTCCGTGTTTACAAAAGTATACAATATCACTTTAAATTCTCTACTAGCAGAATAGTAAGACAGGAAAAAACAAATAGAAAATAAAAATAGAATCTATGGTTCCTGCAGTGTGTCATTCATTATGTATCTGTTGACTAAACTGAAAGAGCTCATGGCAGGAGGCTATATTACCAGCTGTACAAAATGCTTCATAAATCCTTGATATTTAAGCCAACACTTCCAATACTTTTTCAAAATTAGGGATTTAAAGCTGGTTCTTAAATCAATGGTCCGATTCTCAGTTGTACCAAGTGCCCAATCATACGTGCTGAGTCAGTAAGAACTATAGTGCTCAACATTTTAATATAACTTACACAGGTTTGCAAACTTTTCCCCTCACCTTTGCCACTGCTCTCACCAAGATAGTCTCCCCTGCTGTTTCCTCTTTCCTCTGCAGTATGAGAACTGTTGCCAACAGGCAATTTCTCTGTTGGACAAGTAGATACATAATCATGGGTAAAGAAAGGTTGACCCCATATCATGTAGAACCCACACTCACAGTTGTGACTGATTCAGTTAACTTTGGAGAGTGTCAATGTTTCTTTTCCTGGTGTCCTTTCCAGCATCTGCTTTGGATGAGGAGGAAGGTTCTGGAGCTACCACTGTTCAGGAGGTGGCTTCACTGCTCCATGGCCTCCCTCTGCTCCTGCCCTGTGCATATCAGTCCTTCTCCCAGCAGACACTCCCTCAGCACAGCTCTGTGCCTTGGCCTCATCCATCTTTTAGCCACTTCTCAAGCAGTGTGATTCATGGGGAGTGACCTCCTATGTGGAGAACTGGTCCAGAATAACAAATAAGTAACAGTTACACAAACAGCAAAAAACCCAAGAACTCAGGCTTCTTTTGGCTTTAAGTCATAGATTTCTATGAAATGGCTGAGGTAGAGCTCATAATTTGATATAAAACTGATTAGTAATGATGTGCAGCTATTTGGAACCCTACTTAATAGTATGCTCCATCTTTTTATTCACTATATTCTGCCTCCAATTTTCTAATTAGTTTAATTTAATTTCTAATTAGTTTAATTTAATCCTTGTTTATTAGTAAAAGTATTTTTTTTTTTACTTCTCAGTGACTTTTACAGCACTTACAAAACATGAGGAGCAACTATATGTACCCTTAAGTGATTTAAAATGTCAGCATTCACTGCCTTTATTCCTTGGTATGCACCTGGACTGTAGCACCCTGCTGGTATGTGGGGCATCAGTACAATTGCTAAGACCTTCTGCAGATTCAAGAGCTTGCTCTGATGAAATACAGAAGAAATATACCTCTAGGGGACGGAAATTTTGGTCTGAAACCACAGTACTTGCCTGAACACGTAACCTTGCCCCCAGTTCACATGGAATGACACCAACCTTCATCCCACAAGTTCTAGGAACACATTAGTTTCATGTCCATGAAAGCACCAACCTCCTGATTTGTGTCTAGCTTTAGAATCAAAGACAGTGTCTGTATTACTTACTCATAAACTAGTACATTCCAATGAAATCAGTCTAATGATTCTGGAATTTCTACTGTAAGATGTTTCTATGCATAATTGGACTGTGCAGAGGTACAAATGGCCAGCATCCAACGAAAAATCATGAACCAGCCTGAAACACACACACTTCTTGTTATATGATCTTTATATGTCAAAAAAACAGGGGCAAGGGGGGTCCGCCTCAACTAATTAATTTTCCAGCAGTATCTATTTGCATGATGAAGCAAAGCTTGTAAAAGGTGAGGACGCGTATAACTCTTTTTATTAAGGTATTCTTCACTTTGATACTGCTGAGAATTTGACAGCACTGTTCTTAAATTAGGTTTTTGTTATGAATGCCTCGATGTTTTGTACTCTGTGTATAGTAGGCCTCATACCATATTCTTAGAGACAAAAATAACTCCTTCGTGTTCAGCTGAGTAGCTTGGTAACTGTCTGAGAGACTGAACAGTGATAAATGAGAGAAAAATTAAAGAAGACTTAGAGATTACTGAAATCTAGTGTACCTGTACCTTTACAAGGGAAAGTACCGGGTAGTATTACAGATGAGAAATCTTTTTGCGGCCAAAAAACGAAAGCCCAAACCTTCAGAGTACAGATAAGACATTCTCAATAGCAAGGGTGAATGTCCAAATCAGCAGACGAGATGAATCCTGCATCTGCTGAAGTCTTCCTTCACATTTCAGTGCCTTTCTGAAACACGTTCTTTAGTCAAATACAGGTTATGAAGTTCAGTACAAAAGTACCTGGATGTATTGTATATAATCATCTAGCAGTCTCCCCTGGCCTTCCAATAGTAAAAAGCTTTGGGAAATGCAGTAAAATTGGATCCATGCTCTGTTTACTCTTCCATTTAAAAAAGAGTAACAAATTACATTTAAATATTTTTCATGTGTGCGTGAAGTATTTTGCCATATCTGTAGCCTTTAGAATGAATAATCTGCATAATTTTTTGTGGCTTCCATAGTCTTAGATTCTTGGGCTCTAATGAAAAATAGCACCTTGCTTTAGTGACTGTCTTTTTCAGACAAATGTAAAGCTGATCGAAACGAAACCATTCTCGTGAACCAACTAAAGTGGACAGCTGATTTTCTTTGGCTCTTTTAAAGACTCCAGCCAAAATCAGTTTTCCTTTTTTTATGTTTCTCCTGCAAATACAATCTCAGAAACAAGAAAAATTTGCATTCCATACACTTAAAAAGAAATAGAGTATTTTCCTTCTGTTTTTCTAAACAGTTATCCTTGAAACAAAGAAATACTGTGTAGACTTGACAGCCTGTGGCACAGAACAACACACAACTTGGCCAGTAGACCATGTGTGGCAAAGAAAAAAACAATTTTAATGAACAATAGGTACCAAGAAACAATATCAATTGTTATCATTACTTTCTTTTAAAATTAAAATGGTCCAATTTTAAGATACTTCTTCCAAAAACTACCAAAAAAAAAGGAAAATGTGTATAGTTTACAATTAGAAAGGGAAAAAGAAAATGTACATTTAAAAATGTTTTCTATACATGTTTATTATCTGTACCATATGAGTTGTGCTTTGTCCATAAGTGTTCTATTGATAATTTACTTAAAATGCTTGGATAAGGACTGGCCCTTTGGCACGAGTGAGGTAGCACGGAGTACATAAAACAAGAATCAGTGTAATCTGTTTCTTCTGGTGAAATACATTTTTATTTTGTTGAGACTTTTGTCTCAATGTACAAAAATGCAGTTTCAATTTGATTTAATATTTCTAATGCCACGTACTAAGTCCATTATTTTTCCAGTCTTAACTAACTGCATTTCAGTGAATGGTGCAGCTACTCTTCAGCAAGCTAGATCCTGCCTCACTTATGCGCAATTTCAGTTGAACTTCGTGAGAGTTCGTTCTTCTAAAGAAGTAGACATTTGAGTTCTAATTTGTATCGAGCATTTTTGGATCTTTCAACATGCTTGATGCCAAAATATAATGCTATGTGACAGTTTTGTAAGCTAACAAAACGAGCACTCACTATATCCTCCATTTTATTTCCACTGTAACAAAAAAGCTCATGATCTTAACATATACATTCACCTAACACTATTACTTGGATTAGTTGCTTGCATGCAACACTTATTTTCTTTGTAAATTACTGCTATGTTTAGTATTTTCTATTTTTAACAGAGCATACCAGCCTGGCAAAGGATTGCTAGTAACATTCAGTTCATCACCCTCTTGTAGGAAAGTGCTTTTGCTTGTCTGCAGCCTCGTTAAGGCTTGCAGCCTCGTTAAGGCTTTGTACCCGACAACTGTCTCATCTGCATGCAAAACAGAGAGAGCTGGAACTAGTATCCAGATATATCTGGATAGGAAAGCCTATCACTCTAAGCATTAGTTTTAAGACACCCTGACTATTACTATTCCAGTCCCAACCAAATCATTTCACCGTTTCTACCTTCCCACATACTTAGTAGACTGGTAAAGTTTACAATCAGCTGAGTATTTTGAAAAATCCAGGGTCCTGGCCATTTCATGTAGATAAAAAAAGTATTATTCTTTCAATAGCGATAGAATTTTAGTCTAGTGTTTTTGGCCAAAACTTCCGTGGTCCAAGGTATGTGTTGTGCCTCCATGTCTGCTTGTTGCTCCCCGTGCAGTTTAGTCACATGTAGGTGATTTTGAACGAATGCAGTTTGCAAAGTCCGTTGGGAATTTTCAGGATGGAAAGCACTTTATAAATGTAAAATATTGTATTATTACAGCTGCCTCCAAGAGAGAAGTTGTGTTTAGCAGAACATTCGGAAAGAAAATTTACAGAAATTTATTAGAAGCTTAATTTTGTTTCCAAACCACAGTCACTAGAGATTCAAACTATTTCTCTTGAATTCTACCTGCCAAATTTTGATGAGATGAAATTCCCCCCTCCCCATTTAAAAGACTGGGATTGACCACAGTTATACTGCAGACTTTAAAGTAACCTGCATTATTAGGTTTTCTCCACATTCCAACCCATCTGCCTTAGGGTATTAAACCCTACTTTCATCTCTGTGAGGTTCACTATTTCCAAATCCAAGCCATAAGGCCATGTCTAGACTACTAACTGAAAAGTGGGTTTGACTGCACACATGCGCACACTAAGCCACATGTCCCACAGATTTTCCATCTATACTTTTGTACATAGCCCACTCACAGCTTGGTTTTAAATAATCTACACTGTTATAAAGAAAAACAAGCTCCCAGTACTAGCTGATGAACCATCACTATGATTGATTTTGCCGGGGTGCAGGCCAGGCAGACTGCCTGAACAAAAGCTTGGCCCACACAAAGACACTGAGTATAATCAGTGTTTCTGAGTATAGCGAGAGTTTTTTCCACCTCCTGGCTCTCATGCTAAAATAACGCCTTGGTATTAGCTTAAGGGTTTGTGGTGTGAACTATGGGAGAGTTAGGTCTTGAGAATATTCTGAGATCCACACATGCTTGACAGTATAGATGCAAATCCTAGTCATAAAAACATTGTAATGCCCCCAAAATCACAAGATTAGATTAATGAGATATTTTCAAGCACGCCGCCAACTTTTGATGCTGGAGCCCAAACCAATTAGGGTTCGGGATACAGCCTGAACTTTTACCATGCAAAGATTATGTGCGCCGCAAAGCTGAAGGCTACGTTTGGAGAGCAAACTCAGTGTTCCTGCTCCTCAGATGTTTTGCTGAAGGTAATAAGGCAAACAATGAGCGACTTCAATCCTCTGCAACATCCCTAGCCAAAAAGGACCTTAATAACCAAGAGTAATCCTGAAGTATGATTACATTAAGCAGCCTCTGTATTCCCAGGACTGTCTTCCTTCCTTTAATCTTTGTGTGTGGGATAATTAAGATATTTTGAAGTTCTTTCAGGTATTATAGTTTCACAAAGTGGTGATTAGTCTTATGTGGTGATGTGGTATTAAGTCACTGCTACATTACCTATTGTATCAAAATAAAGAACAGTTAGTGATACAAAGAGGACTTGAATGGGAATGGAGGATTCCCAAGCCTCCCTTTCAAGGACAATCCCAGATTTCTTCCAGTGGCATTACTGCATGTGGCATGAGGTTGAAATTGGAGTCTCAGTGCTGAACGTCCGTCGGAAGCAGTGTATATAGGAGGGGAAGGGCGCTTCTAGGGAATGATGCATTCACTAATGGCCTCTAAGCAGACTAAACTTCTGTCAGGAAGAATGAGAAAAAGTCCTCCCTCAGATGTTTGGAACGAGGACTTGGGAAGGACGGCCACCACATTATAAGCACAAGTGGGCTGACATTAGTAATAAACACTAAGTAATGGAAAACTGAAAAATGTAAACTATTTTTAACACGCTGGATAAATCAAATATTTTATAACTGGTGCTATTCATAAATATGATGAGTTCTTTTTAACATGGAAATGTGAATCTAATAATAATAATTAAATAAAAGCTAATAAAAAGACCACATTGGTTGCTGCATATAGACAGTTACAATTCATATTGGCCTTTTAGACCTAAGTGGTGAAATATAATTTTCCTGTGTTGGTGGTGAGATGCCGTTGCTTATTTACACTTTAGACTAGGAGATCTCATATGCCACCTACTGGACAGATGTTTTAAGTTAATTTAATGTGCATGCTATGAACACAGATTATCAGAACACTGCCAGCTAGTCTCTTGGTGATCGTTTTACTGCATGGAGGCTCTAAACCCAACTCCCTTTAAGACTATCAGAAGATTTGTATTGACTTCAACAAGGTTTGAATTGGACCCTTAAAGAAAGTTAATGCTGCAGCAAAAGCATGAATAGTTCTTCCTTCTGACAATTTATAAAACAAATTATCTTAAACAGTTTATTCTTGGCGGTAAGTATTTTCTGTAATGTAAAATAAAATGAATTATTTCATGGCCATATATACCTCTGTCCTTAGTAATGATCATATCCATTCATTTTTGTTTATACTTGTTGACTAAATGAATAGTAATAAAATAACCACTTTCCTCACTTCACTTAAGAACAGAGAAAGTAATTAAAGTCTTATTGAGTAATTAGTTCCAGTAGTTCAGTTTTAGTGCTTTTTTAACAGACCTTATAATGATACTGGGTGTTGACAAGAATGTATTGGGTTGCCTAGAACCAAGTATTTCATTCTGAGTAAGATATCCTTCTTTTATGTTCTCCATATTATTTTTTAAAAGGAGCATAAAATATCTATTCTATGCACAATTTATAACATGCTACATATGTAAACGCGGTACAGTTCATGTAAGAAGCAGAGGTAAACCTGGATGTAGGCTAGAGTGGGCACAACCTAGAAGTTCATGTAGGCATTTGAGATATAACAGCATTTACTGACATTCTCTACAACTATAAAACAGAAATTAGGCTATAACTTCTTGCACATATAGAAGTAGAAGTAATTTTTAAGTAATTTTCCTTTAAGTAATTTCTTTAAAATAAAAAAACCCCTCACAGATACGGTTCTTTAGTATTGTAAGGAGCTCTACAGCAACAGGTACTTTCATCTGTCATAGAAACTACTGAAATTCTTTTCCAGTCATTTTTTACATAAATGGATGCGAAATGCATTGCCACTTCCTAGTTAACAGAATCTCCTCAGAATACCTATCTTATAAAATTTGTCCCCAAATTGCCTCCTGGACCTGCCTGATCTACTAGCTCTTTATGATGTTGTGCAAGTACGCAGCCTTAATAAGTATCTCAAACACTTTTCCTCTCTTGAAGCTTCAGCTATGCAAAAAAATATCTCTGGAGAGATACCCTCCCAATCCTCTGTCTCCTCTGTTGGTCGTTAAAGGTGCTTCCTGCACAGAGGAACCAGGTGGACAGACATGGAAATGCTAGGCAGCCATTATCACACCTCTTACGCTCCAACAGCTTGCCAGAGTTTGCAACGGAGAAAGTAAAGGAGGGAGTCAGTATGGGACACTAATTCCATTCGGCTACACAACAGGTGGATGGAAACGAGCATCTGTGATGCAAAACTCTGAAGGGAAGCTGGAAGGCAAGATTTCATGATGCTACCCTCCCAAGAGGTAGCAAAGGTAGCAAGTAACTAGAAAAACAAAAATTACGCAGGTCAGAGGCACGTACCAAAACACCGTCTCTTACTGGCTGGTTATACAAAGGTGCTTGCTACATCCAACCTTAAAAAGGAAACATGCATCTCCCGGACTTACAGGAGGCCAATCTGGTTAGCATCAAGGGAGAATCGTGCCAGGGATTTTCACCTGCAGGATTTTCCATTTACAGTAAAAATTGTTATGTTGTTCTAATCAGGCAGGCATGAGTGTGTGAGATGAGAGCTACATTTTAGATGAAAACTACCAGAAGGGAGGACTATTCTGTTTTCTCTCAGAGTGAAAATTTATTGGAAATATTCCTCCTGAAAAACAAATTCAGATGTTGACAGTTATGAAAGCTTTATTTGTATAATGTTTCCATGTTAGGATACATTTTAGAAAAGCAACCCTCTGAAAAGCTTTGAAGAATTGCAGAAAGGCCAAGTGAACAAACAATGTTCTGACATTTCCTTTCTTGAAAACTGTTTATATGTCCTCTAAACCAGTTTGTAATTCCAAATAGACTCAAGACTGAAGGCCCAAAATAAATGTCTCTCACAACAACCAAGTTTTGCATTGGAAAAATAATGTCTTCGTTGCCTAAAGATTACAGACATAAATAGTGACAAGGTTTTGAATATGGGGTAACAAACGGTCGTTACGGAGCCAATTCAGTTTCTGGACACTGATGTCAGGTGCAATAGTGACAAGAACTACTGTTACGGTCAGTTACGAACAGTATGGACAAAGTTTAATCTTTGGAGAAGTAGTAATTTTAAATTCATCATTGCTGACTATCTCTGCTGACAGCAGCTTCATTGTTGTTTTGTAACCATATTACTTTAACTACATTTTAATTCTAAATGCTAATCTGTTGTGATTATAGCTGTGTAGGGCATTAGCTGAAGACTGACATCCCACTGCACTTCATGCTAGAGGACAGTTTTGCCTAAAACTCTGTGATTAAGCAAGTACAGCTAATATTTGTTTATTACCATAAAGGTATACTGAGAGACTTCTAACCTTAGATCAGATAAATAATCCTTTAAAACGTAATGTCGTGCTTAAGGCAGGGATTACCCTGCTGCTGTTGAACCCCATTATTGAAAGTTAAGATTAATCAAAGAAAAAATCAAAACTGAGCAGTAACATCTGCTTAGATTTTCTTTTTTCTCTGAAATTTCTCATTATTGAATTAAGATTAATCAAAGAAAAAATCAAAACTGAGCAGTAACATCTGCTTAGATTTTCTTTTTTCTCTGAAATTTCTTCTGTAAGGAGTCTCAGAATGTGAGGATTTTTTTCTGACTTGGATTGAAGAAGAGATTTTGAAATCTTGACACCTACTGCTGCAAAGAATTTCCATTCTTTGTTCTTCCCTGAAGTGTTTTGATATTAAATTTTACATACAACCTGGAGAATGGGTGGAATGTACTGAATATTCATTCCCACCTCTCAACTTTATGGCAATAGCATTTTTCACACTCTTAGCCAAACTGAGTGTGCATGTGTTTCTATATATTGTATTTGTGTACGTGAGTCAACAGCAACAACAAAATGTTCTCACTGTAAAAACACCTAAAAAACTGTTAAGCATTTAGCCCTAGGATTTTGGAAACTTGACTCTCAGTGTGCATTTTGCCACTTTATTAGTTAGGCTGTACTGTAGTCATAGTAAGTTTTACTAAGCTTTACTTTAGTAAAAATGTAATTTTATTGTTTTAAAAGAGATCCTAGAGCATTCCAGCGAGGAGATCTTCAATTGGCAGGGATCTATCAGCTCTTTCTGTTACATTTTCTTTTACATGTGAATTCAAGGTAATTAAAATTGCTAGAAAGGAAGTCTGGAATGGGCTGCAGTGTCTGCGTAGGCAGGTGATACTTGGTTCCGTGTCTTAATTTCATTCAGCCTGACTCATTCATTGATTGCATGAAACAGTTTGGGACTTAAAAGAGAACTAGGTGACTGAAACTAACTTCAGGTAGGAAGGA